AAAGGGGACATGATGATGTCCAGGTGGGTGGGCGGAGCCTGCCGCAGCCACCGCTACTGATTCACCTGAACCAGATAGAACCGGCTGAATACCACCACTGGCCAGAACATTTTAGTGGACAGTAGGACAAAGCACATGTGTTTTATTTGAATAATATTCAGCATGAGGATTATATATCGTCATATGGAAAAATCACTTTTATCTCATTAATATTCATCCCAACTATTGACAGATTATTCAGAAGAATGAATAGTATTTATAATAGTATCTATATATGCCTTACTCACGGTCACGCATGCTCTCGTCACATCCCACCTGGACTACTGCAATGCTCTCTACATGGGGCTCCCCTTGAAGAGCACCTGGAGGCTCCAGCTGGTCCAGAATGCGGCCGCGCGGGTGGTTATGGGGGCAACTCGGCGCTCCCATGTAACACCTCTCCTGCGCGAGCTGCACTGGCTCCCAGTGGTCTTCCGGGTGCACTTCAAGGTATTGGTTGCCACCTTTAGAGCACTCCATGGCTCAGGACCCGGGTATTTACAAGACCGCTTTCTGCTACCAATAGCCTCCCACCGACCAGTACGCTCCCACAGAGAGGGGCTCCTCAGGGTGCCCTCGGTCAAACAATGTAGACTGGTGGCCCCCAGGGGGAGAGCCTTCTCTTTGGGGGCACCTGCCCTCTGAAATGAGCTGCCCCCGGAGATACATCGGATCCCGGATCTTCGCACCTTTCGCCGTTCCCTAAAGACGTTTTTATTCCAGCAAGCCGGGCTGGCCTAACTCTTTTAAATTGTTTTAATTCTTAAATTGTTAATTATCGGTCTTAATATAGGGGTGTTTTAATTGTGGGCCAAATTAATTTAATTGGATTTTAATACTGTTTTTAAATTTTGTATTTCTTGTGTTTTATCTGTTGGCTGTTCACCGCCCCGAGACCTTCGGGAGAAGGGCAGTATATAAATATAAACAAACAAATAAATAAATAAATAAATATTGCTACCGGTAGAAGGCTTTCATTCCATTAAAAACTTTTAAGAATTATTCACATTTCAAGATATTCTTCCTCATTTGAAGTATACTAAATTCTTGATTCGCTCCCCCCATGATAGACTATATTCCATAGCTCCAAAATAGGCAATATACAGGTAGTCGATTTATGACCACAATTGAGCCCAAAATTTATGTTGTTAAGCGAGACATTTATTAAGTGAGTTTTGCCCTATTTTACGGCCTTTCTGGCCACAGTTGTTAAGTGAATCACTGCAGTTGATAAGTTAGTATTATTATTTATTATTTAATTAGTTTGATTTATATGCCACCCTTCTCCGGAGACTCAGAGCGGCTTACAATGCGTTAAGCAATAGCCTTCATACTTTTGTATATACCTGCTTAGTAGGGCTTTTTTTGCCCCCCCTAAGCGGTGTTCTATTTTATTTATTTATTTATTTATTTTATTTATTGCGATTTATATGCCGCCTTTCTCCCTAGGGACTCAAGGCGGCTTACAAAATGACAACTTCAATACAAATCACAATACAATACCAAATTAAAATCAGTAACAGAATTAAAAGAATGATTTAAAATTATACCAGTGTACCCCCAAACGGATCAGTTTAATTGGCGGAAGAGCCATGTCTTTTATACAAAGTCAGCTTATTGCCCCCACAAACCGGGTCCTCATTTTACCTACCTTGAAAGGATGGAAGGCTGAGTCAACCTTGAGCCTGGTGAGAATTGAACTCGCAGTAATTGCAGGCAGCTGGCAGCTAAATGCTACTTTTAACAGTAGTTTAGTCTGCTGCGCCACCAGGCTCCTAGTAGCCCGATTGTTAAGTGAATCTGGCTTCCCCATTGACTTTGCTTGTCAGAAGGTCGCAAAATGGGATCACATGACTGTGGGACACTGCAACGGTCATAAATATGAACAAGCTGCCAAGCATCTGAATTTTGATCACATGATCATGGGGATGCAGCAAAGGTCATAACTGTGAAAATTGGTCATAAGTCACTTTTTTCAGTGCTGTTCAGTGGTGGGATTCAAATGTTTTTACTACCAGTTCTGTGGGTGTGGCTTGGTGGGTGTAGTATGGTTTGGTGGGCGTGGCTTGGCTTGGCTTGGCTTGGTGGGTGTGGCAAGGGAAGGATACTGTAAAATCTCCATTCCCACCCCACTCCAGGGAAAGGATACTGTAAAATCTCCATTCCCTCCCCACTCCAGGGAAAGGATACTGTAAAATCTCTATTCCCACCCCACTCCAGGGGAAGATTACTACAAAATCCCCATTTCCTCCCGATCAGCTGGGACTCGGGAGGCAGAGAATAGATGGGGGGCGGGGCAGTCAGAGGTGGTATTTACTGGTTCTCCGAACTACTCAAAATTTCTGCTACCGGTTCTCCAGAACTGATCAGAACCTGCTGAATACCATCTCTGGTGCTGTTGTAACTTTGAATGGTCACTAAATGCTGTTTAAATAAAGGACTACCTGTACAGCCCCATATAGATTTACATCACAGAATCATCACATTGGATGTGGCTGATAACTTTGTATCATGTATACTAAATGGTATAGTACTTAAAGAGCTCCAGAACATCTGTCAGTTGTGGTAAAAATTGCTCCATGTCCTCAAATCTGTTTATTTCATGAAGGATTCATTTTTTTGGGGGATTGGGATCATTGCGCGAGCATCTGTAAGTCCCAGAAGAATGTTATCTACAGTTAGCACAGCTGCATTTCTGTTTTCACAGGTTTGCACAGCTCTTTAATATTGGCACATAAGTGAACCATCTCTTGGGCACCAATATCACTGAAGTGCATGTTAGTTGAGTGTTCTCAAAACTCCCAACTGGAACATTCTCTATAGTTCTGCTTTTATGTGGGGAATAGCAAGATCAATAATGTTCTAGGGTGGACAGCATACAAAATAGCTCTTTCTTAAAGCCATGTTTCTACTGGAAGAATCTTTAAGGATGCTATTTCTATATTAGACTCCATGGAGATTTCTCCCACATGACACACTAAAGCCTTTGGTACAGATGTGTCTCAGCCCCAAAGATTATTTATTTGATCAAGAGACACATATGCATTAAACTCACATTTCTCTGCACTAGATATTGGGGTAAGCTACCTTAGAATGTAGATATTCTTGCTGCCAGAGCTAGCAGCAAACATGTATGAGGTGAAGTAGGTTCTAGAAACTTCTGTAGACAGGTCTGAAATAAGACTTTCATCAGTTCCCCTGCCCCTTTTAAAGTTCATTATGTGATCACTGATTTGCAAAGAGATTTCTTATGATTTGGCCAAACCTGCAAGGTATCCAGTGGGTTATATGTGTAAATTATTTTCACTGAGGAGGAAAACTGATCTGATCTACTTGTCTGCTAGATTCTGCCTCTGTGTATAGAACTTTTTTGCATGACATTAAGGTTTCTTGCCCTGAACTTGACCATTGACGAGTTTCTTATCATTTGCCTTTTCCAAGATTAAAGGAATTTTCTCAAGTTACTTTTGGAATAAAGCTGTAATGTCCAGAATTAGTCTGTTCCCATTTATTTGACCCCAAATCACAATCTGCTTTCTTATGCAGCAATATTAAATAGATTTCAGCAGATTTCCCAACTAAAGGGACCTTTGGCTCAAACAAACCCATTGGTTTGTCTCAAGCATAAAATATTTACCAAATTTTCTCAAATGGAGAAAGTCAACCTTATCTTTAGCAGCAGCAGCAGCAAAAGGAAAATATTTTTTTTTCTGCCGATGGCCACATGGCATAAATGAGGGCACATACCTGAATTTATTCTTCAACGCAATTTCAGTAACAAAAAAAATATCTGTTTCCAATCAGAAGATCCCAGAGGGCTGTTAAAATCAAAGGCCTTTGATTGGGAAACTTTTCTCAGGAAATGCAGGATTTCAGATGAGAGTTCTACTCATTTCAATAATTTCTAAAGCTAAAAGATAATTTAGATTTCTGACATAATCATTTTTTATAAAATGGCTCAAGGCTTTCAGCTAAATTACAATGCAGTATTTTAGTTTGTTTCCAATAACTATATATATATATTCTAAGTGGTTATAAGTCCTGAATATGTTTTTGTTGTGGAAAACAATGCTCCACATGTAACTTTTTATTATTTTTTTCTGGGATTGTGCTTGACATATAAGGTGTTGAAATATCTGCTATAAAATGTTGAATTATCTGCTACTCACTCACTAGGATCACCTTTCACTCCACTAACCGTCTTGAAGACTGCCCAACCATGTTCTAATCTGCTACCGTCAGAAATGATGGTGATCACTTGAGTGTTGTGTGAGCATGGAAATAAGAATGAGCTACCAAGTTCGATCAATTTCAAAAACAGCACATCAGCTGCAACAGAAGTATTAGTCGATGGCCATCTGGGGAAAGCAATCTGAACTCACGGTTTCTGGAGATCAAGATTGTTCTTTCTGCAGAAATTAAGATGATAATCATTTAGTCCAAGAACAGTATAGTTGAACAAAGTTGTCTTTGGACTACCACTATTATTTATAGTGTTAAATTTTCAAAGAAAAAAATTATAATGTGAAAAGCTGTTCCAATGAATGGCAGAGACATTGTCTTAATATAGATATGGTATCACACTCTGTCAACAGCGATTATTTAAAGCAGTGCCTTAATATTACTGAAGGTCTATTATAGACTTTAAATTCACTGATCAGGAGGCAATAAAAAGGCATATTTTAATAGCAGAGATTTTGTTATACAGTCTGAGTTCTAGAAAAAGCCTTTTAATGTCAGGGGATAATGAAAATACCGGTCACCTTTGACTGAGTTAAAATGATGTCATGACCTGGCAATTTCTATTCAGTCCTGACATATCTATGTGGAGCACAGCTCACAATTGCTTTCATGTAAATATAATAGGATTTTTTTTGTGTGGTATTTTTGTTCTTTCAAGAATGACAGATCAGAAAAAAGCTGTGAAAAGTATCAGAGGACCATAAAAACTGGGAAACCTATATATTTTTTCCATTTATTTTTTAAAATGCAAATTACACTAGTTAGTCAAAAAAGGTCACCTTTTGTTAAAAATACATTCAGAATTAACAAATGACTCTTAAGAAAAAAAAATGAGAGAAACATTTGGATCGTTAACACTTGCCTTTTGAATATTTGGATTTATAACAATAACAGAAAGCCCAGTCTAGAAAAATAACATACTTCATTGGATTTTGAAGAGGATGCAGCTGTATAATTCAACAGTGTTCAAATATTCTCACACTACTGTGCTCTTAAATTTTTTTGCCATAGTGGATTTGTCAATTCAGTTATTGTTGTAATAATTCTTTTGGAATGGTACTGATTTTGCTGCACAAGAATGAAAATAAATGCCTGGTCCCATGTCTGTCCACGTGTTTAATGTATATAGGTTTGTGCAGGCATATTTCTATATAGTGGACAATGTTTTATTTAAATTTAGAATTCTCATTGCCTCAAAATTCTCTAGTCTTATTCAAATGTACTTTCTAGCCTCTTCCTGGATCAACAGGAAGAGGCTAGAATGAGACACTCTTCTGTGTCTCATTCGAACACAGAAACCTGTTTTTCTTCCTGCCATCTGCTCTGCTACTTAAACCATCATCTACAGTTACTGTGCTATGCTCCAAATAATTGCTGATGCTCAAAATCATGTTTCTGATAAAGTCTAGTATAGCTGGTTATAGGCCTGCAAAACTTTCCATGCTGTTTATGGAGGCTCTTGATTTTTTACATGGAGACAAATATGCCCACAGGCCGAGTGGTGCATCAACACATAGAATATATAGGAATATTCCACCTTCTTCTTATTCACTTATGTCCCATACTGGGTGATTTGCTTCTCCCTCCGAGTGTGTATGTATGTGAGAGAGTGAGTGAGTGAGTGTGTGTGTGTGTGTGTGGGGGGGAGAGTTACTGTACATAAACTGTTAAGTAACAGAAAAAAGACTTTTTCCTTAACTGTATCAAAGTAAACATTTGATGTAGAGATACAGGAATGCCTTAATTTAGAATGTGGTACAAAGCAGGAATTGGTCAAATGTGCTTAGTTTGCACTCAATAATTCTAAACTAGAAGAATCACAATGTTTGCTCATGGGGAGTGACAGCAAGCAAAATTTCATTAGTCCCCAGCATGTATGATGTACTGTATGCTTTTGTTTATTTATTATTATAAATTTTAATGTCTCTTTTGAGTAGAATTGAACTGCTGGTGACTTCACAAACATGCAGCTCTCTTGACAATGCAGAAGTGGTTACCCATTGCTTTTCTCCCCAGTTATATGGTTACATCATAGGGCAAAACTATGCACCTAATTGTAATATTAAAAGAATTAGGTTATAAAGTGTTCAGTAAAAGTGAACTAGTGCATAAATTATGCAATGGATCCTTATTTCTTCTTAATAAGACTTTGAGATACAGAACAGTTAACATTTTAAGATGTCTAAACTTCTTTTCTAGAATCTACAAATCTACTTTTAAAAATACTTTGTCCTATTTTATTGGTTGTAGAATGTCAGTGAGAGTTCATTTCTCCAAACCTGCTGCTTTGATGATTTGAATGCAAACCTATACATTTGTCTTGACTTTATGCTACTTACTGCAGAGTCATCTCATTTTTTCATTGATATTAAGGATAATAAATGTAAAAAACAAGGTTGGGGAGACAATCCATATATCATGTACTCCATACTAATTTCACTGGTAATAAGTAAATTTCAGGTCTACAAGAGTTGTGCCTCTTGACTCTGACAAAAAATAATTAAATTGCAAACAACCATTAAAACTGAGAGCATCTTTAGAAGCTTAACTAAAGCGACAGTACATATGCTATCATTACTACCACTGGTGTTGATATAACCAGGCAGAGGCTTAATTATAAGTCTTATATTTTTTGGAATTTTCAAGTACTAACCACTATTTTATATACATTACATTATTGTGTTCCACTCATATCGCTGTTACTGATGTGACATTTATTGCTGGAACCAATTAGTTTTTGTTTCTGTTAGAAATACCTGTTCTGTTGTCATTCAGGTGGCATTTTTGTAAATACACTGGTATGTATGGTATGTATACACTGGTGGTAATGGGTAAAGGTTAACTGTCTTATTTCTAGGATACTTGTACTGAGAGTTACTACAATGGATGGTGGATATCTAGGCCATATAGAATTGAAACATTTGGCATGTGCAGACAAAAGTTATTTGAAGAAGCTGTAGTGGGCTAAGAAGACCCTAATCCAGCAAGTGCCTAAGGCTGATGTATTTGTAGGTTTTAAATAAAGAAATTAGGGCAATTCAAGTTAAAAAAAAAAGCCTGAGCAATATAACTCTTCCCAAAGAAAAGCCACTGCAGTAGTTGAATATACAGCTCAAATTCAGAATACAGACGCTTCTAGGAGTCAAGAGTATTTCATAGACATTGACCTACTAGTAAAGTTTCCAAAGGCATCTTGTTGCCAACTACATAACAGCACAGGTTTTTTTTAGCCACAAAAATACAGGAAGATAAGATACACATTCTAACACACAACAGTTTTCCCCAGTACCACAAAAAAAAGGTTTTCAAAAATCTCACCAATGCAAGTACTCCCACCCCAACTTAAAAAAAAAAAAGAACAGAATCCAGAAAGATCTTATATGCTGCAGGTTTTCAGTGTTTTGTTTTTTTTAAAAAAAGCTCACTTACATAAAGTTTTCAACTGGAATTAGTTATAAAAGAGTAAACATTGTTAATACTTATGCAGTTGGCCTCTGTCGATAGAAATATGCAGATATCTCTGTTATTAGTAAAAGACGTAGGTTAGAATCATTTATAAAAGCACTTAGAGTGCATTCACTAAAACAGTGGGGTTAAGGAGCACTGAGTTTGCACTTTCTTTAGTTATTGTTTAGTAAAAGTTCATTTTCTTGGCATTCCCCAGCTCCCAAAGTGTCCAGTTCTTTTAAAATACATTGAAGTAATTTGAAACTAGGTATTCTGGAAGCTTAACCATAAAGCACTTTTTTTTCTGACAGATTTTTTTTTTAATACAGATATCTCCGGAATAGTGGGAGCGTAGACTATTACCTGACGCAGCTTTATAATTTTTGTTTAGAATTCATGAACAGTATGGTTGATCCTAAAGTAAGTGATTTCAGAGAGCTTTCATCAAAGTTCTGTGGGTGTGACTTCGTATGGGTTAAGGCAAGCATATATTAAACAGCCTTTAGGGTGAACAACTTCCTGTCTACTGACTTCAGCTTCAACGTTATCTAAAGATCTTTAATCTGTATGGACTAAGAAGACATGGCTCCAGACAGAGTACAAAAGAGCCTCAAGTAGCTAAAACAGATGAGATTGTTTCATAAATCAGAGGCAAGTGCAAAAAAAAAAAAAAAAAAAAAGGCAGAAGGTAGATAGTGGCCAGGAGATGGCACCACTGCTTTTTTTTTAAAACCTTCTGTGTAGGAACTTGGAAAATCAAAGTTGGGAGGGACTGGATCTTGTGCACTTCTGCCAGCACTAGCTAGACAGAGAGGCCCTTGTCTCTGAGTGTTCTATTATATATTGAAACGGAAAAGTTAGGTCTTCTTTCATTCTTCTGCAACCTGTAGGAGGCTGTGCAAGAAGTAGATCTTTGTCCAGTCTTTCATCCCCAGGACAGATTCAGCTTGTGTCTACTTAGACCTAGAAAGAAAGAGAAATAGAAGACAAAGACATTTTGTCACAAATATAATTTATACCTCATCAATTCCCTTTGAACAGCAGCATGAGCCTAATTCATGTTCCTTCTCCAAAATTATCTTTAATCCATTTTTGCATCTACTCGAAAGATCTTGTTTAAACTACGGTTAAACACAATACAACCACTAAAAAGCGCCACACCATTTAATATCAAAGAATATCAGAACAATTCAAAGTTAATTGAAAGAGTAAATAAGTATTTTGGTTTGACCCTGGAAGTCTGGATATTCTTGATAGTATATCACTACATGTTACATGATACACATGCATACTATTTTATATATTGTTCATCTTAATATTTTCCTACTAGCACCAATAGCAACAATCTGATACCTGAAGAAGATGGGACAGGGTGCCTGAGATTGTGGTCCCTTTCCATTTCATGCTTCTATTTAATAGTTGTTTGGCTTTTCTAGAGGCATTTCCCTGTTAAGGGGAGAGGGAATGATAAAAGTGAAGAATTTCTCTAAATCTAGTGTTTACTTCCCAAGTCTTAGCAGCAACTCCTCCATAGGGCCAATGGTGAAAGCAGCTGGGAATTCTATTTCAACACTGTTTAGATAGCCTTAGATTTCTGATTCCATTTTAAAATCAGTGCATAGAAATTAGAGTTGTCTCAGGTTTCTTCATGTTATCTGGAGACTGTGAGTGATAAGGTGACAACAGTTGGCTGTTTCTCAATGGAACAATAGGATCAAATCTCACTGAACTGTAGAAGGGGATATGATACAACTGACATTTGTTTTTGCTCTTAGGGACATAGTGGATTATAACTAAACAATGACATTCTAAGCTTGCTCTTCTAGCTTAGAGAAGAAGCACAGGAAAATGTGGAGAGGGAAATGTGGTAACAAAATGCATTAGGGCAATGGAGTCTTTAAAGGTACAGTCTTTGGAATCTGGACAGCATAAAGGTTTAATAATACATGCGTAAATGTTTTCCCATGATCACAAATGATGCAATCAATGTAAAGTGTCTAAATCTTTATTGATTCCAGTGAGTGAATCCCAATATGGTTTAAGATGGATCACAAGATCTAAAAACTTCCTAAACTAAAGGTTTTACTTAAAGAAGCAAATTGTATGTCATTGGATTTGTGGCTCCATATAGATGACAGAACATGCATGGCTGAAATACTTCATACTATGACATACAAAATCCTTCAATAGTAGTGAGCTGTTCTTGAGCAATTCTTCCAATACAACTAGCATATGATTCCTTTCCTTTCCTTTCCTTTCCTTTCCTTTCCTTTCCTTTCCTTTCCTTTCCTTTCCTTCCCTTCCCTTCCCTTCCCTTTTCTATCAATCCAGTTGCATCTCTTCTATAAGGATTTCCTAGTATAACTGCTATTACATAACTCAAAATTTAATTGGTACTAATTTTTAATTTATTGATACAAAATCCATTTCTGAGATTCAATTCCATTTGCTAAACAAAGCCAAAGTTCTGCTTTCTGGTTGACATGCCAAAGCCTCACAGAATATAATCACTGCAGAATTCCATGTCATAATCAGGTTGGTTATTTACATTTATTAGGCTATATTTAGACTGGTTATTTATCACAAATCAGGACCTAGAGAATTTTGCTTAAGATGTGCTTGATTGTGTCAACTGAGGCAGAAGCCTTAGCCTCCTAATAAATGAAAGGAAAACAATTTCCAAGCACTTCTGGTTCTCTCTAAATCTTCTCTGCCTTTCCCCTACTCTTTCTCTTCTCCCTTAGTAGGAGAAAAAAGAAATAACATACTTACTCACTACTGGAGGCAAATAATTTCTGATGACTTTTTGGACCATTAGAATTAGAAATGACCTACCTGCATTACTCACTAACAGTGATATTATTTAAGATGGGTTACCAGGTACAGATGGCTCAGTAGCTAAGATAGTTTCTAGCCTCAGCAGTTTTTTTTAAATATTATCTTTTATTATACATTTTCCTTTATTTATATATCACTTCCCATTTCTGCAATGACAGAGTACTGTTTGTATCAAGTATACATAGTATTATACATCCTGATTATAACTATTGTTCTCATAATTATACAATGTAGTCTCTTTTAAATATACATAATCTTGTACACCCTAGTTATAACCATTATTCTCGTAGTTATACCATAACACTATACACTCTTTACACTTTAATCTATAGTACAGTCCAATGGTAATATTACTTATAGTATATATGCTTATATATATGTTTTCTGATATATATATCTGCTTATATATATCTCTATATATGTATTTATTTCTATTTTGTTAATCTTCTTTTGTTATTAAGTTACTAATATCTGCACCTGTTATCTAATTATTTGTACCATAAGTCCCATGTTAAGTAATGCTCTGTTTCCTTTTTATCTTTAATTTCCATTACTAGCCTCAACAGTTTTTGTCCTTCCTTGCCTTGTGTCCTTTACAGACCTTCTAGAGCATGGGTGTCAAACTGGCAGCCTATGGGCCGGATGTGTCACGTGCAGGCCATGCCCACCCCAGCTCCTCAGAAGGGAAAAATGTCACGAAACTTCACGTGATGGCAATGTGACGCGGTGAGTTTGACACCTGTTTTCTAGAGGAACGAAGTTACCGGCAGGACTGTTATCACTTTATTTTACAGTGCAATAAAATTTGAGGAGTAAAAGAGAGGAATAAAAGAGGCAAATGATTCTGCCTAGCATCAGTAAAATTATAGTGGATTGGAGGTAAATCTGTCAAGAAAAGATACTCAGCTTGAGGGACTAAAACTTGGCAATGTCATGCCCAGCAACATGTAGCACTCTTTTTTTACTTTCTGAAATGTTGACAAATGTACAGGATTAACACAACCTGGCTATCCAAACGCACCATCTGAAACATGACACCCTTTCTTGGTCTTCCTAACCCTGGGATTATTATTACTACTAGAGAGTCATTTCTCATCAAACTCTTATGTTTTGGAGAAAAAAATTAACATAAATATGGAATAGGAGACAGATAATTTTGGTTAGACAATACATCACAACAAAAAGGCCCAGAAAGATGTTGCAGTCATTGCTATGTTTGTTTTAAACCATGGATTGTATAATTATCATTTTAAAATCCTGGTTTGCTGAATCAGAGACAGCTGGATTTACACGACAGTAACCAAATTACAGCAGCAGTGACTGAGTTTACACATGGCATTAGTCAAAATTACACATCATGTGGTATGAATCCATCTACTGGGCTACCAGCTTCTTCTCAATGTCAGTTGGCTTGTAAGAATTTGCCAGACTGTGACAGTATGTCCTCTGCTGCTTTATTAGAAATACTATGCTGAATTTACCAACATGTCAATGAGAAAGCAGTTAAAAAATGAAACAAAGCAGAGTTTGAAATGTTCTTCCTGTACTCCCGTGTTTCAGCTATATGCTTCAAAATTTATGTTGACTCCTCCAGCCCTACAGCTTCCCGTTTAATAAGCTCTGTGAATACAAACAGCTACCCTCTAAGCCGAGAACATAAAAAGAATGGAACAATATCTCAGCTAGGAGGTTCTGTATGTTGATGGCAAGGTATACTACCTAAAAGAAAAAATACAATTAGAATTGCTCTAAGTAGATTTTGTTACATGTATAGTAGTCCTTGACTTATTCTCCATTGATTTTGCTTGTTAGAAGGTTGCAAAAAAATGATCACATGGCCCAGGGACACTGCAACTGTCATAAATATGAACCAATTTACAAGCATCTGAATTTTGATCACGTGACATCACATGAGGATGCTGCAATGATTGTAAGTGTGAAAAATGGTCATAAGTCACCTTTTTTTAGTGCCGTTATAACTGAACGATCTCTAAACGAAAGGTTGTAAATTGAGGACTAGCTGTATAACATACAACCAAAGAGAGGGTAAAACATTTTTCTAGACACATGCATTTGAAAAACTTTAAAGCCACAGCCACAGTTTCCCAGCCACAGCCATGATAGGACCATGTGCTGCTATTTGTGGCTCTTATGACTACCAACACAGAAGCTTCTGATAACATCAAGAAAAAAATTGCATATGGCATTTAATTATTGGAAAGCAGCTTATTAAATAGGCAGACCAATTCCATGCTAACATTGTATATTGAAAGGAAATGGCACAGAGATACTGTTTTCAATGCCCCTAAAATCTGGGATTCCCTAGCTGATTAGCATGGCCTCTTCACAGAATAACAGAGTTGGAAGGTCTTCTAGTTATAAGATTTCTAGTCTTATAATGTAATTGGGGTCTTCGCAGGGCATGTCTGTTAGGCTGCCATCATATTAGGGTAGGTGAGAGAATTCCCTTCCAATCTTTTGAAACTTCAGCAGCCTTGAACTTTTCAATGTCACTGCTCTGATATTGGAGAAGGCAGGGCACAGATTGATGGTCATGCCAAGCTTTAGATATCCTTGCTCCCCAATCTTTCCCCTTCCTATCATGCCTCCTAATTAAGCCCTGGATTTAACACAAATATAACACTGTACATGTATGAAGATTATATTTATAGCCAAAACTGATTTATTTTGCTTATTTATTTATTTATTTCATTTTTGGTCTCGTGGAGTTTTTGAAGGAGGGGAATTTTAGTATGTTGTGAATATTTTAATTTCCAATGTTTGTGTGTTTTGTTTTTGATGATCTGATAAATTTAACTTAATCTGATTAGTTCTTATGTTGTTTTAGGAATAGCCATCTTGGATTGGCCTCTTATCAGATATATAAAATAATAAATATTCAGGATACAAAATCTATACATGGAAATTTAGTTTTCAAAATACCTAGCAACCTGCTTTTTTAAAAAAACAAAGCAAAACAAAGACTATTTAGCTTAGTATTTTTCTTGCTTACTGACAAGAAGCTGTTCATGGGTCTCCAGCCCTCCCTGAAAACTGATTGTGGGACTTTATATATGCAAAGTATGAACCATGTCATGAAGATATGGTATTTCTCTTCCTGCTGCTTCAATAAAGTTGACTCAGTCCCTAAATCTAGAACCAGAAAATAGTCATATCCTCTAACATAAAAAGTATATTCATACGTTCTCTAACAACCACTGTATGGACAAGCTGAATTTAACAATAGGAGCAGGGAATGAGGAACACTTCATAGAATGTGGTGAGCTTATTGTCCATAAGGAAAGCTAGTTGATTTCAGTTGAATGTCCACATTAATGTGCTGGCGTTCACAAACATTTTTAAAAAACATTTCTTCCTGATGAAGCAGATTTGATTAATGGCAATCTCAAAGTTTGACCAGCCTAACACATCTGTCACCATTATATATATTTTTTATTTTTTATTTTTATTTGATTTATATGCCGCCCTTCTCCAGAGACTCAGGGCGGCTTACAATGCGTTAAGCAATAGCCTTCATACTTTTGTATATTTATACAAAGTCAGCTTATTGCCCCCACAATCCAGGTCCTCATTTTACCTACCTTAGAAAGGATGGAAGGCTGAGTCAATCTTGAGCCTGGTGAGATTCGAATTTACAGTAATTGCAGGCAGCTGATGTTAATAATAGTGCTTTAGTCTGCTGCACCACCTGGCTCAGTATATATTTTACCTTTCAGTGCCCTTATACCAAGCATTGCAGAGGACAAATTGCCGCATACTATAAAAGTTACACTTTATTGTGAATACATTGTGAACTAACATTATTCAGGTACCACTGAATAATTTTCTTTGAATTACAACAAGTAATTTTTCTTTAATTTTTTAGTATGTCTCCAGCAGTTCACTAAAGAAACATGAATGTAGATACTCACATATACATTGGTTGTAGCTGTAAATGTGATGTCTTCTGTGGGCCTTGATAGCCGTAAGAGTCAAATCCACCTATGAAATCAACTGAAAAAGGAAAGTATTTCTTTAATTGCTGATATCATACTTTGAAGGGCTAAGCATCATGACTTTAAAACAGTTTTACACAAAGTCTATCCCAGCCAGCAGCTTCTCTTCCTGTCTTTAGGAAGGTGCCAGTCACAGATTTATTAGTATCTATCTGTATAATAAAAAGAATTATACATTGCTTCTGCTGCCAGCAAGCAGTCCACCTAGGTCAGGGGTCAGCAACCTTAAACACTCAAAGAGCCACAAAGGTCCTAACCGGAAGCCCCCGTTCAATTCTGGAACCGACCGGAAGTCTGGTTCCTCCACCATAGAGTCTCCTCCTCGCATGGTGTCCTTTTTCCTCTGCTGACTGGAAGTCCAGTTTCCCTACCATAGTGTCTCCTCCTAGCGCCGCATCCTTTTTCCTCTACCTGTCCTAACCGAAAGCCCTATCAATTGTGGAGCCAACCAGCAACAGGGAGCCACAGCAGAGGGATGAAAGAGCTACATGCAGCTCCAGAGCCGCGGGCTGGTGACCCCTGACCTAGGTGGCATGCTCATTTGTTGAAGCTGCAAACAATGCAAAACCATTCCTTTGCAACTTCCAAATGTTTTAGCTAGTTGTGATTATAGGTATTACATATTTGCTGCCACACTGTGATTCCCTGAAAAAGAGATGCAAGCAGGTGGACAATGCTTTTGAAAAAATAAAAAGGCTTCAGCATAGGAGGAAAGGAGGGAGAAATGGAAAGAGAAAGAAAGAAAAAACAATCATGGTTGCGGTGATCTATGGGGGGAAAAAGCCAAAATCCAAAATGGGATGATAAACCTATTAGCACCAACAACTAAAAAAATGACATAAAAAGCATGTCAGTTTCGATTTCTCCAAAACTTTTAAACAGGCAAGATATTATTATCAAAAATAGGGGATAGGGAATAGGGAAAAAAAAAAGAAAAAAGAAAGGAAAAAAGTCTATACATTTAGACTATAAGGTCACTAGAATAAAACCAGCCTCAAAACATAAGCCCGGCTTGACTATATTGATATCACAAAAACATGTTTCGCATAAAATAATTGTTATTCTTCTCACTTCTAAAAACAAATATATTTACTTAAGCCTATTTCTTATCAGAGATGCCTTGGCCTGGCATCAAAGAATCCCTATATGTTGATCAGTATTAAAGACTCTGTAGACCATGGGTGTCAAACTCATGGCGTCACATTGCTGTCATGTGACTTTTTTGACATTTTCCCCATTTGTGGAGCTGGGGTGGGTGTGGCCTGTGTGTGACGCATCCGGCCTGCAGGCCGCCAGTTTGACATCCCTGGTATAGACTGAATATGGGAAACCTCTGGTCCTTCAATTGTAGCTGAACTTCAATTCCCAGAATTGTTGCATGTTGGCCAAATACCATAAGGAATTGAGAGCCCAGCTTGCCAAGGAGGCATCTCTAACTTTATATTTTCTTTGACCCAACAAATAAACACATTTTGTATAATAATTGTATGGATAACCCTGTTACGTTGCAATTTTATGTCACAAATTAGTTTAATATTTATTGTAGCACTATTATGCTAAGTTTGCACTACAGCTATGCAATCCAATCACTTCCCTTAGCTTGATGGTGATGGTGCTAAATATAGCACAGGGCCATAGAATTGTGCCCAATATCTGTAAGCTATATTATAGTACCATGTACTCAGAACTGGCAGTCCTTACATAGCGTCCAGCCTGAAATAAATTTTTTATTTTGACATCTTGAACATTTTCCCAATTGTTGTTCTTTCCACTAGGCGTCTTAGCATGGAAGTGCCTAAAAAGCTGCAAAAAGTTTCATCAGCTCCTTTCTAATAACACAGATATAAAATAAATACCAACAGATGCTCTAACTCCTAAACTGATTTATCAAAAGTGCTTTAGAGCTTTGCTTTGTAACTTGAAAAATAATCATCCAATATCATCACTAATTAAGCTTCTTCTTTCAGAAAAAGCATAAAAGTGCTAAGAGATATCGTCTCACTGATATAAAACATCAAAGGCTTAGAAATACTTTTAAAAGAAGGAATTATTGTAAATCTCGTGAAGCCCCAAAATCTATATGCTTATCTGGAAGTAAGCTTGATTGATGATTTCACTGAGGCTTTAGTTCTCTTTACACTAGAATGCAGCAAATATTAATCAGGAAATAGAAGATTCAAGCATGCTAGTACCTGGTTATATAAATTGCCTTTAACTACATTTCTCATGCAAAAGGTGATGCATGAACATAATATAATCATCTTCTTACAGTTCCCCTAGATTTTCCTAGCACTGCTTCTTCCTTTTTTCGAATCATAAAACTTTAATTATAAAAGGAAATGGAGAATAGCACGCAATCACTATTTTTGCTCAGCCTCTGGATGAGGTATAGAGAGACTAAGCATCCTGCTTTGGGGAATGTTGTGTTAGAAATAAAACATAATTTCTTTCTCTTACCGAGACTTGCCTTTTACTTCTATTAAGCATTCTCAAGCATAGGCCTGAAACTTTCTGAGCAGGTGAGTCCGTTTGGAATTTTGAAAACACGAGGGCTCTCTCACAAAATGGCTGCTTTCAGGGCACACATGCACAGAATGGCAGCCATGGTGATATAAACAAAGATCTGATTTGTCAGGCCCCCCATCTCTCCTGCAGGATGCTCCAAATTATCTCATCTTACCTTTCTTCTTTTCCTAGTCTGGTTGAACATATTTCTAAGCAAAGAAGTGGGATATAGCCATCCATCTCTTAAAAATTTTCAAATAAAATAAAAAAATTCTTGCAAATAAAGATGATACTAGAGACTAGCAATTTGCTTTTCAGCATGAAAATTACAAGAATATTTAAAAGGTGGGGGAACAATCATGTGTCAGAGAGTCTACTGAGCACCAAAGGAAATGTTCAGTAGATATTGGGTGTCTGGGTGTCACATAAGCAGTTTTTATGTCTTTTAACTACTCAGAGTTACAGGGAGTTATGCAGCATAACAACAACAACAATAATAATACTATCCCCATTCTAAATTATGCTTGTATTAATTTAGTAGTTTACTAAAGCATCTAGATGATTTGAAGCAGCTTTGATTCTTAGCAGTAACATTAAATTTTACACTTGGCTAGCAATTTAACTATACAATTTTAATTTGTAACTTGATTTTTTTAAAAAATGTATCTGAAATTCCAGGGGAATAAAATTATGTAAGCAAGGCATCAGATTTAAAACATTTAGAGTTAATATAGGCAGTCCTCACTTAATAACCACGTTGGGACTAGCACTCTGCCACTAGGTGACATGGACATTAAGTGAAGCATCATGTGACCTCACTTGTCTTATGACATCAGTTTCATTACTGTCATTAAGCGAATCACCTACAGACATTAAGCACATCGCATGACCATGGCTTACAACTAACTGCCAGCTTCTCCACTGAGTGTCAAAAGCTGGTTGTGAAGCTCCTAACTTGGTCTGTTGTATGGATGTTTGGGTGGTTTAGGGGTGGGGAATTGTGGTGGGTGGGAGTGTGTTTGGGGATTGTTATGTGTGTTGGACCTGGTCTTTGGGTGTTAAGTGAATTTCGTTGTATGGGTATATTATGTATACACAGTATACACAGTATACCCATTGTTGTATACAACGACAATCAAGTTATTTATTTATTTATTTAATCACATGATTGTGCAATGCTAGTAAGGACCAGACACAGTTTTTCAGTGTGACCCTAAGCCCGAATAGTTGCTCACAGGTCAGTTGTTAACCACGGTCTGCCTGTAATTTTTTCAAAATGGTACTTTGAAACATGTAAGAAATTCAGCCTCTGCTTGGATTACTAAAGCAGCCACACATTTTCTCAGGCTTGTGCAGTTATTTCAGAGGCTTCTTCCGGATATCTCTGCATACTTGTGTGACAAAGGGATTGTGTATGTCAACACACGTATGACCAGTACCTGCAGAGACGGTTGTGAACAGCTTTTGAAACAGCCACATAAATCTGAAAAAGACATAGTTGCTTTAATGATTCAAAGATAGCTGCTTTGCTTGTGCTACGACTGCAGTTTATGAAGCCTCTCATTCAAATGCTTTGTAAAGATGTAATATTTAGTGTGCACAAAATGGAGAGATGCATGGGTGGCAGCAGGACTCCCCTTCCACCCCACATGTGCAAATGTTTCCCAAACAATGAAAGGAAGAAATCTGAATGGCAACCTAATCTCTGGTGACTTTCACAGGCCAGATTTTTTCGGACAAGAGAGGATGGAAAAGAATAGTTAGTTCAGAACTGCTGTTGTTTCTCTGATCCTCTTGGATGAGAACAGCAGGAAGCCTCTGTGTCTTGTAACAACAAAGAAATTGCTGGGTTGAATTGTGATTTTTCTCCCTACATTGCTCATTTTGTAATCCAGAACAGCAAGAGACAATGGGAAAAGGGCAGCGGGGCATTTTAAAAATCTACCTGCCCACTTTTAGACAAAACCAAACCAATAAATAAATAAAAAACACCAGCCACCATGGTGTAAAGCCTGCAGTGATATTAGGGAGGCGGGAAGAAAAGGAATTGTCCTCTCCCTGCCTATTTGGGTTAGACAGAGCGCACCCAATAGATAAACATACTAAGCACAACATCAATCACTGTGTGAGAAATCTATTGCAATTCCATTTGTAGGATCCAGGGGAAAAGCAATTAGTGTGTAGCTCTAGGATTCTGTAGCCTTCCATCTGGAAAAATCCCATATTAGGCTGGAGTGAAAGATTAGCGGTTTTCTGGTTAGGAGATGAAACATCCATTCCATACAGGTTAAATAAATAAAAATATTATTTGATTGCAAATATATTTCATTTGTTATAATGACTATTAAAGCAATCTATGCATTTTTAGAGAAATGCTTATTAAGACACCCGTCCTAAAACATGTACATGTTCTCTCAGATACACAGAATTAATTTCCTACAATCCTGGATATGTATCAGCTAGTTCAGATAAATGGTGAGAATGATGGAAATA